CCTAGATGTGAACAGCTGGTGTATTTTTAATCATGCAGTTGTTAAACTGGCAAGTATTAATACTATTTTAGGTATATTTTTGATAGAAAAGACAAAAATCATAGAAGACTTGTTTTAGGCCATAACGGTGGCTATTGAGATCGCAAACCAAGTGAAAGTAAATTATACAGAAGGACAAAAACAAATCTGAAACTAAAGCTCTTAGTTTCAAAAAGAGGAAATTATAAACGAGGGGGAATAAAACCATATGCACATAAAAATAGTAGAGAAGTCAAATTTAAGTTAAATGCACAAAGCCCAAAACTCATATCTCAAGTTAGCTCTTCAGCAAATTGCTGAGAATATGTAAGTATAAGTGAGCTCAAAAGTGGTTTTTCATACCAAGTACTTTAATTTAACATTCCAAAGTTGTATTCACTTCAACGAGTTACTCCAGAACCAGTTTTTCTTCTTGTTCTCATCTCCACTGCACAAATGCAGCTCCTGGACATGGTAGTGAGTCCTTCTGTTCAAGATTAGCTATACACCATATTCATTTTAGGTGATTAACAAACACAACATATTCTGTAGGAACTCATGAACATTTAAAGATAATAGATTTAAAATATAATCATTTAAATCACAGTTTGCATTTGAATATATCTTTATAATAGAATGGACATGGGTTATATTCTGGAGAAAGAAAAGAGAAAGGAAGCCTGCTGGACATTTAACTAAAAGGCTATGTACTGGGATAAAAGTGTAATACATTCATATTAATATTATAGTATATCTCTGAAGGTATTTTAATTATTTTCTACCTAAAAATGTACTCAGTTAAATCTTTATCACTTTAGATTACCTTCACTTTGTGACAATATTTTTCTTAAAAATGACAAACTACTGATTTTTAGGAACACAATTTCTATTGCCTCAGATTTTAAAAATGAATTTCAGTTATGATTTTAAATGTTTAAGGGTCTCTGGTAAGTTTGTGATCTTAAAAAATATTAAGCCAATCAATTTGAATATGTCAGAAAAAATAAAACTTAAAGCTCCGATCTGTTTTATTTAAACCACAGGAAATTAGAAAAAATAGCTGATTAGTCTATATAAGTATTTATACTCTGTTTATACACAAAAACTATATAAATAAAGCCAAAGAAAACCTTCCACTAATACATCAACTGTCCATAATTCCATGGGGTTTAAGTTTCTTTGGCAGATGTCTTATCATCTATAAGAGTAGCTGTTTCCTCATCTAACAAATGAGAAATTAATATAAGTTAGTCATGCCTGATTTAACCAGCTTAATATTTTTGTAAACAAAGGAACACAAAAAAGGTCCAAAAGGTAAAACTACAATACACAGACTTAGCCCAAGTAATCTCTGAGAAATACCACCTTGGAAATTGAAGAAAAAATCACAAAAAAATCTCAGCTGAAAACCAGCTGAGATTCTTTCCATGCTAAGTATCGTCAACAGATATTTTTGTATACTTTTAAATACCACAACATTACATAAACTTTAGAAAGATGGAAATTATTAAAACGATAGAAAGTGTGAAACAACAAAATCCTGTTAACAGAAAAACTTGAGGGAGTGGGTTGGGAAACATTCCTTGTACATTATTCTAGCAAGCTGGAAACACTATGTTCTCAGAGTACACAGAGAAATTATAATTAATGTTATACAAAAACCTTGTACAGGAACAGCCCAAATACTATTGGCCGAATTCTGCACCGTTAAAGGTAATAAGAGGCACAAATGTAACAGGTAATAGGATCAAGCTGTAACATAAAACCACCTGCTTCCACTAGAGCTGGCAACCCAAGATGCTGAGTTGCAAAATTTGCCTCTTTTCACATGCCATTTTGACAGCTTCTCTGTCAAGCCACACACTTCCTAGGTACTGATAAATGGAAATAAACACTTTATAGTACTTCACAAAAAATTGCTCTAGCATAGAATGAAAAGAAAAACGTTAATTCTTTACTGCTCAAATAGATTATTATATATGGAATATTTTAAAGATAACTCTGTTAAAGCTTGTTATAGACTACCTCTATTTTCCCAAAAGAAATATGTTGTCTATACAAAGTTTTCTGAGGTTTTGGCACTACTTCATCATTTTCTGTTATTTTTTCCCTATGCTGTATAGTAGGATCAATTACAGTAGTTCTTATGCAAAAAACTCACCACAAATATAAAATAAAAACCACATTACCCTGAGGATGGACTAAGCAAACACAAACCCTTCTATCACCTCTGGGATAATAGTCCCAATTGAATGCCCTAGATTAAATTATTCTGATACACTGAAATGTGTTGGTTTGAGGGCTCCCAAAGGGCAGAAGCAAGACACATCAAAAAATAAGACAAATAAGACACACATCTGTCTTTCAGCTAAGAAAAAGCCCTTCTCTTTCTGTCCTTCCCTCTATATTTATACATTAGGTTCTTTTAATACTTGGCAAACTGGGTATCACTGTCAAGGTAATATATTAAAGCTGTCTTTTAACCTAGCCTATGTTAGGTTGGGAAAAATAAATTTCTAATCTAATTTGTGGGAGGGAAACAAAGTACCAGAATTTAAGAGTTCCAAGCAGGAAAAGTCACTTGACATTAAGAACTTGTCCACTACTACAAATCTCTTAAAATATTTCCCAAATAGTTATTTCACTGTGAACTGCCTTGTGAACATTTTAATTCTAAAGGAAAAAAAATGCCTTTATATAACTTAGTGTGGTACAAATGTAGTATATTCATATATACTACACATATATATATATATTCATATATACTATACATATATACATATATAGGAGAGAAATCTCTTTCCAAAAAAGACTCTTCACATATGAGCTCATATATAAATAAGTTACACAGCAATAACTGTTTTATTTATGATACAAGGATACCTTTTGCTTGAATTGATGAATAATACCAAATAGGCTATGACACATCCAGAAAATGAAAAAAACCTGAAATCACACTCAAAACTTCACAACCCTGACCACATATTTTGTTTTAGCCTGATTTCTGATTTCACTACTGGTGCCTTATGGCTTCCCTGGCTGAAATGTGTATGAGCAGTTTTCTGCACAAAACTAGTAAGAATAGTAGAAAACCAGTAGGCAAATCAATACCCATACTAATTTCTTGAAGTTAAATAACATGAAGACATGACTATGACAGCCCCTTTGAAGAAAGTAATCCTGAGAATTAAATTATACTAATGAACAGCAATTCTAAACACATTTTATTGGTGTTAAGGAGACAGCTGCTGTTTCTGAAATCTGACATTTAATGAATTTTCAATAAAAATTAAAATCTGATCTAATATTTATGAAATAGAGAAATTATATTTTAATTAATTGCAGAATATGCTTTAAAATTTTAAAGCAAGCAAGCAAGACCTAAAATTTACTGTTTGTTTTCACCTTCCTCTGTGTTTTTGACCATGCAAAAGAAATGTGCACTGGAAATCTGTACTGATAGATGTACCGGGCACAAAAACATGCAAAGTCACATCCTGTGGCAAAAAAAATGCAGGCAGAGGAAGTGCTCTATTAAGAGATTGAATTACTGTTTTCTCCCATCATATAATACAAGTTGAAGTATGATTTTTTCAGAGAGACATGTTTGTGAGCACTTTAAACTCCACGTTTTAGACGTAAAATGGAGATAACTGAACTTCCCCATCTTCCTGAGCTGTTTTGAGACTGAAAGAAAAATTAAGTTACAAACTTCTGTTCACTCCAGGCAATTTCTTTTGTCAGTGAATCCTTTCACTGACTCACATCTCACCATGTAATTCAAAAACACATTTCTTGTTATTTCATATCTCAACAGTACTCTGACACTACTTCTTTTCATTGTTTCCCACCAACACTGAACTTCTCATCCTTTCTATTCATCTGCGTGCCTTCTTCCTTGTCTTTCACACGTTCCAGTACTCCTCCATATTTCAGTTTCTGTTAAAAATAATCTTTGCATTTCTTCCACTGGAATTTTTAGTTGTCTAACACATATGTTGACTTTAAAACTCAGAAGCATGTGATTTTCTTCTGTGTAGACCTGACAAATCATCACCTCACTAATCCTTTCTTTATGCTGCACAATTCAAGACCTTCTGTTACTGTATTTTTCACATGATTCTAAACTTTCAATATTTTTTGTCTTCAAATCACTTTATGGAAAGCTATGCTTTAAACAAACAGCTCCTGCACAGAGGTGTGCTCCAAACACTGCTCTGAAAAAACAATTACACACAATTGTGCAATTATGTTATGGAAGTTCTGATTCTGCATTATTTTTTTTCCAAAGCATTGGTTCTTCCCTTTGGAAATTAGCATGTCAGACTTAAAAACTGCAAAAAGAAAATACAGAAAACACTACATCAACAACGACTCTTTTTCCTCTTGACATTTCTTGGAACAAGAAAAAATGACCAGGCAGTATTAACTTGAACCTACTGTATTTTCACAAGACTAGAAAATGTAAATGGGTTTTCTCTTTGTTTCTTAGTTTCAGAATTAGAATTGGCATAGTAATCTTTTGGGTCAGCTCTGATGTGTGAATTGCTATCTGTTTTATGGACACATTACTGTACTGTCTTTCCTATAAACTCCTTTAAATGTCCGACAATTAAAAAAAAAGTGGGAGTAGAAGACACAACAGTTTGTGTTTATATAAATCTGGGTTAAATAGTTCTTATCCTAGTACATATTTCAGTAGCTGGAATAAAACAGGCTGAAAAAAATTACTATGACATCACAGTGTTATCTAATGGATTATACTAGGATTTTGTTTAATTACATAAATTACTCTCTCTTACTTTTGCACCACAATTCTGACACAGTCTAGAGTTCAACTGTGGTAATATGTTTTAAACATAAAGCTCTAATTACTAATTTCAGGTCTCTCTCTTCACAGAAAATAATCAAGTATATTTAAAAAAGAATAGCATCATTAAAGTAACACCTAACTACAAAGAACATAAAATAAGACTACTAACCCACAGCGTGAACTCTTCCTCCATGCTTCTTTGAAATCTTGTTTGCTTTAACTATGTGTAGAGCATTTTCTTTGAACTGCAGTTCACAAAGTCTTTCAAGAAGAACTGTCATTTCTTCAGTGATGGTATCCAGGTAAGTTTCATTAATAAACTTTAATGACGAAGATGGACCAATTGTCCCACTTAATATATACAAATCCTCTTTTATCATTGTGCACAATCTGGGTATGGAACTTTGGTAACCATGAACCACCTTATCAAAATTTGTTTCACCACAACTAGACAAAATACAGTTTTGTAGAAGATCACTAACCAGTTTATTCTGCATATTTTGATACCTCATTAAGACTTCTGATTTGGGATAAAGAAACAAAAGCTGCTGCACACACTGAGTTTTAAACTCCATTTGTTGTTGAGAAGCATTAGTGTTTGTTTCTTCTTGACTTTGCAGTCTATTTACTAAAAATTGTCGAAGATGCAATCTCACATCGTCCCAAAGAGATTTCACATCCACAGCTGAATCATCCTGAATTGTATGAAGCGAGGATGTTATCTCAAAAGACGTCCCACTTGCAGTACAGGGAAATGAGACACCACACTGACTAGACAGATCCAGAAGGAAGTGAAGTACCATTTCTTCTTGATTCTTCTCATTCTTCAACAAGCTTTGCTAACAAAGGTAAATCAGACAGTACTTTAGAAATTTTTTAAATTACAGTTCTTTAAATGAACAGCTTCACATTAGACTAAAACCAGTTTCTTATACTAATTAACTTAACAGCAAGTAAGATATGTCAGAGACAGAAATAATGAAATCTGTGGAAAACAGGATTTATACATGAATTAAATTTCTTGTCTACCTCTGCCAATAACTCACACTCATCTTCTCATCTTTCGTATATCCCCAACCTCTTTTCTCAATCAATTTTAGACCACAGTTCAAAGGAAACCCTTGGCAGCCTTTTTGTTGTCACAGCATCTTTTAAAGAAAGCAATATGAGAAAATTACTTAAGATTTACACAGATAATGACTGGTTTTTCTCATAAAACCAAGCAAGGAATTAATTTACAAAATGGTCACCTTCTAGGGCTCAGCAGGCAATCATCAAAAAGACCATTCCAAGGATAAAAAAGTCGTCCCAGGAGTTGCTTAAAGACGTAAAATTGAAAACTTGTCAAGAATTAAAGAGTCCTAGATGACACAGGACAGAGGAGTAAGAAGCTGCGTAACCCATCAAACCAAGATGCAGACTGATATATTAGTGATCTCCATGTACATCTGTGCTGTATGGGTTGGAGAAGGCAGTTAGTTAACAAAGCAAGTGAAATCATATGGCTGCTGCTCCTTCTGCATTTAAGTCTGAAGAGCTCTCTCTCAGTCTGGGGCTAGGATCTCTGACCTTTCTCTGACCTTAGAGCTGCTTCAGCTTCAAGAGGTCATGCAGCACATGGCAGCTTCTCTTGTCACAGCTCAATAGCACCATCACAAGAAAACTGAGCGGAATTGGTGATATTCTTGATTTTCTTAGTTTCAGTAGGAAAGTCTTAAGTGGATGAGAATCTAGAAGCCCTCTCACTTACTCCTTCATCTCCCATTGATTCTCCCCAGCAGAGAAAAGCATTGTGGCAAACCACCTCAGGGGGGCTCATTCCAGTCTGTCCTTTATCTGTTATAGTTCCACCCCAGCCAGCAACCAAGCCCCAGGCAGCCACTTTCTCACCCCTGTACCACCAGGACTGAGGAGAGAACTGGAAGGGTAAAAGCCACAAGAATCATCGGTTGAGAGACAGACAGATTAACAAGTAAAGCAAAAGCCATGCACACAAGCAAAGCAAAACAAAGATTAATTTACTGCTTACAATGGCAGGCAGGTGTTCAGCCATCTCCAGGACAGCATCACTCATCACCAGGTCATCACTTCAGACATACCTGTTTTCTTTCTTCCCCATACTTTATATATGGAGCCTGATGCCATATGGTCTGGAATATCTCTTTGGTCAGTTTGGGTCAGCTGTCCTGGCTGTGTCTCCTCCCATCCTCCCATGCACCCCCAACTTCCTCACCAGTGTCACAGTATGAAAAGCAGAAAGGCTCTGTGTACGCCCTGCTCAGCAATAACAGAAAAACCGCTATATTGTGCTGTGTGTTCAGCACAAATCCAAAACATAGTCCTGTACTAAGCACTAGAAATCAGCACAGTCTGCAAGGCATACGCCATCCTATAAAGCAAGGCTGGTAAAGAAACTTTTTTTACCTTCCACCTTCAGCATTGCTGATTTATTTAATTTACAATATTTGAAGAAAACATTGGTTTTATTTCTGTTCCCATTTTGAATGGCAGGTAAATTATTCAAGTTTGAGTGTGGTACTGCATAAAGATAACCATTTTGAAATGCCAAATACTCCTTCCTCTTCCTTAGCAAGATTTTTTCAACAGATAAGTATGTTTTAGAGTGACAAAAATTTTTAAATTCAGAACTCTTATTCTTTGTTCTGGATGTTTCAAACCTGTTACATACCTTAGAGGGTTTAACCTTCTTGTTGCCCTCTACTCTGACCAGAGATTCTTGAAAAAAACCATCACTTTCACTACAGTACCTAATTCTGAATAACAAACTGGGAGCATGATTGCCTCTTATAAAGAAAGTCTTAAAAATAACAGACTACCTATTTTTCTTCCATTTTAGATCTTTATTTCAAAATAATTCTTATTAATTCTTCATACTTAACAAGCAGGAAAGATGTGGAAGACAGAATAATAAAGGAAATTATCCGTTGAATATCATCCTACAAAAGCATGCACATGTAACAGGAATATGTGCAACTGGTTCAAATCTTAAGTCATATATATCAAAATGCATAATACTGATCCCATTTTCTTTTATTATCTGCTAAACTATTCTATAAAGTTTAGTGGCCCCAAAGAAAAATGTGTTTCAAAGTGTAAACTGAAACCCAGATTACTAACCACTGTGTTGAAAGGCTGTCTCTTGGCAAGTAGACTTCTGGACTTTAAATGTAGGGGTTTTTTTATGAATCATGCTCAAATACTACATTCTGAAATGTACGAAGCAAAAGAAGCTATCAAAACAGTGTATGCACCTGATGCCTTCAACGGTGAATCCAAATGATCTTCCAAGCAAGTCCCTACTGCTGCTTTTAAAGGCAAAGCAGAAATATTTTTATATATCCAAGGACTGTTTCAAGCCCTTTAAACTACAGCATTTAAACTACAGCATTAAAAATAGGAGCTTGCAGATGCTATTTTAGATGTAGGGATCACTCAGAAAGAGCACCTGAAGTGAACTATGAAGCTCTAGAAAGTGTTATCAAGTGTCTTCACACATTGCCTATATTGATATACACTTTTTAATTTAAAAATTAACCTATAAAAATATCGCAAAAGATGATACCAGCACTATTCAAGAGAAAAAGATCCAAATTAGTATCCAGATATTTTGGAGAAGCACAAAAAGTTCCCTTTTGAGCACAGAAAGTTAGTCACAACAACAACATACAGAAAACCAGTTGCAATTTACCAACCAGAATACAGCACAATATGCACAACTACCTATCATATCAATAAACAAGTACAGTAAGATGACTTGATTAAAAAAAGAATCTGCCATGATTTTATCAGGAACAGAATTTAATGACAATTTGTTAGTGCATATATTCAGCTTTTAAATATTGAGTCACAGGACAGTACAAAGAATGACAACATTTCACATAATTAACATTTTCAGGCTTTATGAAGAAATTATCGGTATTTTCACAAAAATTTACAAACGTGTGATAATAACAATAAACCTACATATAGCACGCCAGGCAAAGCCCAAAAAGAACTTTGTACTGTTTTTCAATTGTCCCAGCAGCTTTACACAAAATTCCTAACAAAATAAATACACATAATAAATTAAAACAATGAATAAGGATGTTGTCTGGAAGTAGAAAGAAGGTTCCTGTTACTGAATATGAATTATATATATTTAATTAAAAGCATGCAAGAAGAAATTATCTAATTAGTTCAATGGAAAGAGATATACATTTAAGAAAGTCCGTTCATAATAATCTCATTAATCCTGAATATTATTGAAAATAGTTGACTGCAGATGAAAGCAGCTTCTTACAGACAGACTGTGGTACAGTCAGTACTATAGATACAGACAGTACAGATACATTTTTCATCTGTAATTCCATCTACACAACAGGCTGGATTATCTAAGAAGCCATAAGCCTGGAAATAGTGATGTGAAAGCCACTGAGCTCCAAAACTGTTTTTATGATAAACTGCAGAATTGAGACGTCCAGGCTTTTCACTTTGCTGTCTGTTTAGCAGCCTGCCACAGAGCCATTTTCAAGGCTTAACTGGATACTACAGCTCACAGCAAGACTGTCATGCAGTTGGTAAGCTCCCGGGAAGTTGGGAGAGCTGGAAAGCACATCTTATATAACATGGAGACATTTTTGTGTTTTCCAAACAAATGCCGCCACCTGGTGTTCAGGCATATGGCTTGAATAGACCTTGAAGAAGGAAGCAAGCAGGGAATGGACCCAGGTAAGTCATCATTGCCATGCCACATTCTGAGGGAATACAGTAAGGATCTAAGTGGACTAAGAGGAATAACAAAAGACTCCTGAAAGCAAGAACTTCATAGTCAGCTTTTTCTGGGATTCTCCAATTTCATCTAGATCAAGTATGACATGTGGCAGCCTCTGACATCCTTGAATGGGATGATTTTTAACAGCAACATTCATACTGATCAACTTTGCCAGAAGAGAACAAAATCACTCTTCACCACATGAACATTAAAGACTTGGCGTCTCTAAAAACTAACTTCCTCATTTGATACAGATCAATATTCAGTGGAATCAGTGGTGACTGAAAGGGCAACAAGAATCCTATAAGTGAAAAAACAAAATATTGCTTTCATCAACCATTGATTTTATCAAGCTTGTGCTCTGGCCAGAGAAAACACTTCCCTTCTCTAAATTCACCTTCTGTACATTCCTGTTCTCTTCCATTATAGTTAATCTTAGCCTAAAGTTGTTCATGGTCTACAACTAAACCATGACATGGAAGTGACAAAGAATAATCACTGGATACTGTTTATGTGTTTTGATTTTATATATATGTATCATATCAAATGCATACATATAGTTTATATATAAACTTGAAGACCATCATTTACTGAGGGATCAACCTTCACTTATCTTGCCAATTCAATTTTCCAGACTTCCATTTCCACGTGTATCCAAATGCAAGCTTTCAATAAAAATTTTGGATAAAAATACTCTCTAATACTCTTAAATTTCATTGAAGTGAAATTTTATTTCTGGTTGCATCTAGTCGTACAACTTGGTAGAACAAAGAATGTAGCTCCCACATTTCTCACTGGGAAATACAGAATCATTTGGATTGGAAGTGACTTTTTTAAAGCTTGTTTAGTACAATCCTCCTACAATGAACAGGGACATCTTCAACCAGATAAGGCTGCTCAGAGCTCAGTAGTACTTGGCCTTGAACATTTACAGGGATAGGGCATCTATCACCTACCTCTTTGGCCACACAGCAGGTAGGAAGTTTATGCTTAAATAATGCATAAAGGACAGTAACATACATTAGATTAGTTAAATTCATAATGATAAAAGTGAAGAACATGCATTAACACTAACAGCCTCAGTGTAGACAGTAACTTCCAATGTTTTTTTTACCAACATGTGTTTTATAAAACAATCCAAGCAGTGCTGAACATATGGTAGCATCTGTGAAAAGATTTTGTTCCGAGTTTGTCTATTTAAGGCATGATCAAGAGGAAACATAACGCCCTGCTGCAGGCATGGATTTATGAACTACCCTCGCAACAGTAAAGGCTGAAATGAAAAAACGAATTGAACTCATCCATCCACCTCTCCACCTCCAATTGTATAATCAACTTTTCAACAATAAAGTTTTTAATAAACAATTTTTACCAAGGTCTTAAGGAACTCCAGCAGCTCTCCATGGTCTGTAGAAGAAGGTCTCAGAGAACTAAAATTGCAGTTATTTAGCCACTGAATGCAGTCAGTTGTGCTTTGTAGTACTTCATCAGTACAGATTTCATTTATGTCCAATTGCAGGTCCTTAAGACACTTTTCTATGCTAAAAAAAAAAAAATCACAGGATTTTTCTACATTATTTGGAGACAAAAGTATTATATACATGCCATATTTTAAAAAGAAAAACTACTTAAATGTAAGGTAACTCTAGTCTTTCTTATTCACAGATTAAGCTACCCTCACAAAATAAGACCTGAATTTGCAGAATTAACAATTAACATTTAAGTGCTGTTGAGCTGGAGCTAAAAAACTTTCCTTCAGGCCAGATTGTACCATCCTCAGCCAGCGTATGTACGGCTTCACCTTCAAACAATCTTACTCATTTTAATAAAGTAGTTAATGAACAAGACATTAGCCAACCTAATATCTGGTCCTTGGTGCTTAATTAGCTAAAGCAGAGATCATAAACTGAATCAACTACTGCATTCAAAGGTGAATGTGTAATTTTGCTCCTTTAGCAATCAGCAGTTGTTTTATAAAACATAAGATATATTAATAACTTCTTAAAGCTCCACTGACATCACAGAAAATGTTGAAAAGAATTTCAGAGCCAGTTGTGCTGAGAAAGCAGATCTTTTCTTTCTTGTTTTGTCATTAGAATATTTGAAAGAAAACAGACTTTGTTTTCAAGGAGCTGATCCATTCCTTAACATTCATCTAGAATCATAACTCTTTTTATGAAACCAGATGTGTCAGTTACGTTTTTACAGTGATTTCATTTGCCAAGATCGCAAGAACAATTGAATATCCAGAATTATTTTATTTCTACTTGTGTGGACACTTAAATGAAAACAAAACAAAACTAAAAAAATCCAAAACCAATCTAACTCTATTTATTTTCCTGCAAAAACATCTTTTTGGTATTCCATTTCTACTTTTATTTTTCAAAAGCAATGCTTAATATTTCATACAGTTTCAGCTAGAAAAATAGAATTTAGATCCTGGCAAAACTGGGTTTAATAGCCCAACTATGAAGTCCAATCCTAAACTTGACAAAGATTGGCAAGTATCTTTTTCGTTAGTGAAACCTGTTCTCAGGACTATGAAACTAAATGCCTTCTTCATACACCTTGGCTCTTGGGACACTATCAAAGGCTCTTATTGTGGAGTGCTGATGTATCTCAAACATACCCAAATACATTACAGGATTGTGCATTATAAAAGACACTACTATTGTTAAATCTCTGCCAATCTACTACAATTATGAGTGAAGTTTTACACTTATCTTTGACATATGAATCTGTGGCCAAGCTAATAAACTACAAGGTTTGAATAAAATACAGCCTTCTCAAGACCAGACATTTTGGTAATTGGTCCCAATACTAATAAGGGGATTAAATGGATAGATTTCAGTGCCATTCCCCTGCTCCTTACCTTCCACACAAGTATAAATCATGATAACTATGTTCATTTTAATTAATCCTTTTATCCTCCCAAAATACACATTTAATTAGGACTAAAGCTGTTTTTGATTGAATAAACATATTTTTGTCCTGTTTATTTACAGCATACAGAATACTGTAGGTAAACAGGGTTTTAAAACCACTGCTGCATCTTGCTAAGAATTTTGTCAACACTCAGTAATACAAGAACATGGTTAATTATAGCTATTTACTCCTTTACATGAATTATATTAATTAAAAACTTAGGAATTTGGTTACCTTAGAAAACAGTCTATTATCTGAGTTCAGAAAGCAGCATTTTAAGTTCAAAAAAATTATTCTGTTAAATATTATTAAAATTATTCTCACTACCTAGGCTGGTATCAGAAACTTTATAATTTCATACCATGTAAGTAGAATAAGTCTTTGATTTCCTGGTTTAGAAAAGAAATTTCCTAAAGCTTCAGCAACTGCAAACAAAAATGTAATTTTGATGTGAAAAATACGCTTAATGTATTTCATTAAAAGTGCTGGATTCCTTTTTTCCAGTAACATTTTTTAATTAAGTGCAAATGTACTTTTTTCAAGTTCAGAGTAGCAAATTCACTCCTTCTTTGAACATACTGAGGCACTAATCCAGATGATGTCAACTGACATGATATACATACTATGGACCTGCAAATTTAATAACCCTCAATAATTTTTTTTGTCCACAGATGACTCAACCTTTTTTTTGGAACCTGTGGAACTCTTCAGACACAAACAGAAAAAAACAGTCACCAAACTACTAAGGAAGGAGTGGAATGTAAAAGCTCAAAGAAAAAACATAACCTTTCTCTGTAGCAAAGAAACCTCATAGTTATGCTTGCACTTTTTTTTTTTTAATTGATTGATTTTTCAAGAAACAAATCTTTAGTCCCACACAGGTAGTACCCTGAGCCTTTGTGGGCACACATTTTTTGTGGTTAGTACTCCTAGCATACCATTATAAAAGTGAAAATGATGTGACTGAAATAGCTTCTCCTCCTTACAGGGGAGAGTGCCTGCAGTTCTTTAACAAACCAAAGCCAAGTTGTGTTATATTATCTGTGTCCACATTGGGGTGCTTTTCTGGAAAAACATTTGGTAAGTACTCATACTGCAGACAGACAATGTAAGAGCTCTTAGGTGCTCTTATTTATTAAATTAATGATAATTTTTACAAGTAACCTAATCATCTGGAGAAAATGCTTTTAAAGTGACTTCATCAATGGACAAACAGTTTAAAAAGTATTGTAATGGAACTGACAGTGTAAGCACTATCATACTATCATACAATGTCACACAACATTATTTTGAAACTTATGGTATCAGAATAAGGGTTGCCCCCTCCATGTATCATTTTCCATTGCCTAAGATTACTATGAGTAAGCTGAAGTATGATCTTCTAACTCCTTTCAATTTCTAACAAGCACATTTCAATTTATCTCATCTAGCACAGGGAGCAACCATAAAATGACAATGACATTGGTTAAATTAAACAGCTAAGCTATAAAGTGAAATTATATTTTAACCTCATGTTCTTTATTCTTACGATCCTCACATTCATGGAAACACAGCTTTAAAATCAGTTTACATATCTTTCATTCAGAACAGACTGTTTTAAAGTAAATAAGATCAGTTTTCACTGCTGTTGAAGAATTAAGCAGTGTTAGAAAACTACTGTTATTACTCATTAAAAAGCTTGACTGCTAGAGGTATAGGACATTCATACAAAAAAATCTTATCATTTGGAAGACTGTGTATCAGAGGACCTGCTGTGAGCAGTAAAAAAAATTGCAGAAAGACTTTTAGCAGTGTAATTCACACAGACATTTTCATTGTTAAACTTTCTCTTGATCTTGAACCCAAAGAGGTAAACCAAAGACACAACACCTGGTTCAAGGACTTCGAAAACTATTGCATATCTCTAATTTAGCTCCTTACAAAACATATCCACTCTTAACTGTAAAGTAACTGTGTCGTTAGAACCAGAAGAAATAGAATGGTGATGGCTTTGCTACACTTTAGCAAGAAAAAAGTACTTAACAGCTTAACCATATATGAATAGTCAGTTCTAACTGAACCACTGCCTGCCCACCTTTAATTTCCATTCTTGTTTTAAAGGCTCAAGATATTTCTGTCACAAGATGCAAGCTTTGTCTTGGTAAGTTATTTAGAAGACAGGCAGTGAAACATGAGTTTTTCAACTCCATTGAAACATGACAGGGACAAATAAGGGTTCAAAACCCATCAGTTCATATATGCTCACATGAAATGAAATGGGATACTTTACAGGGCAGTCAAAAATCTGATTACAGCTTCTGTAGATGTAGATGACAGCTAATTAACCACCTAAGGTACTGACACAGTGATAATCACTGAATATTTGAATAAAGAAATCATGTGTCAATAAAACAGTCAATTTCTGAGCAAGTGTGCTGCCCAGCTAGCAAGTTGCTGTGGAACAACTAATCCAGATTCAGGTATTATGCACAAAGGCAACACAGTCTGCATAGGAAAAAAATTACATTCCTTTCTCAGTTTGTTTACTTATTCCTAGCAACTGGTCCAGTAAAGTGATTAGACTAGACAACTACTATTCTGACTAAGTTTTTAATAACATTACTGTAATACCTTTACAGGCATCAAATTTTCAGGCAAACACTAAAGTAAAACATTTGTACAACAAGCCAGCTACATTCACCCAGAGTCAAATTACTTTTGAAAGCTGTGATAAATATTAAGTCCAAGTAAAACTGATAAAATGATGAAGGTTTTTCCTCTACAATTAGCCCTCATTTTGAAATTCTCCCAAACACTCAATCACTCTTGGGATTTTGGTTGAAAAAGCCAACATTTTGATAAATCTCTTGACTAATAGGAATATGAGGCATAACTGCTTCCTGAAAATTCCTGAGCAGAACAAGCAAAGATTTTCTTCAAAATAAGATAGAAAGATGACTCCTGCAGCACACCTCAGTTTAAAAACATATAAGCCCTTTTACACGTCAGTTCTGATACAGGATAATGGAATGAGATAGCTTGACTTAATATCCTGTTTGAAACTCCTCCATCCCTTTGTTTTGACACTGGTAAGCATTTCTTGGCAAATCAGCAAAGTTATGATCAACAGCTGGACCATGTCACACTAATATCCTTACTGAGACACCTTCCAGGTCTACAATTCACAAGATCTTGTTAGTTCCCAAATAATAACCATAATTTTATAAAATGGTGATGGGAAAACATGCAATGCTCTAAGCGCTTAGTAGCACTGACCTCATTGCAGCCCTTCAAAATAGACCTTCAAAATCCTTATGAGTAAACTACTGTTAATTAGGTCAGGTTGAAGTCTGTCGTGGTTTGACACTGGTAAACATGCCAGGCAGCCATGAAAACCAGAAAAAAGGGCTCATGAGCTAAGGACTGGAAGAAAACACTCTAAGGGCAAAACAGGCTCAAACTTAAAGGCATAAAGTAAACTTGTTACTAACAGAGTCAGAAGAGAATAATGAGGAGTAAAATAAGCCTTTAAAACACCTTCCCCCCAACCCCCCTCCTCCCAGCTCTTCTCTCCTTCCCACTGAGAGTGCAGGGAGACAGCATGGGAGCACTTGGTCAGTTTGGTCAGCACTTGGTCACTCGAAATACTTCTTCAGTTTGCTTTTAGGGAGAGGAGTCTCTCTTCTGCTGTGCTATGGGGTCCTTCCCATGGGAAACAGTTCTCCGATAACTTCTCCAGTGTTGTTCCAATTTCACAAGTAGCAGTCTCAGCCAACCTCCTGCTGTAATGTTAGTCCCTCCCAGGGGCAAAACAGTCTTCCCAAAACTGCCATGGTGTGAGTCACTAGTTCATGAGGTGTAGTCCTTTAAGGATAAGCTGCTCTAGTTTGGAAGTAAGGGCCCTCTTTTCTCTGTCTCAGGAAACAACGGCCTCTCTGTTCAGGTCTCCCATTGGATTACAACTTTTTAGCATCCACCCACTCCAGCATGAGCACTTTCCCAACAGGCTGCAATTGGATCTCTGCATCCCCCCAAGGACTTCATAGATTACATGGAGATAGTTTGCTTTATTGTAGTCCTCCCCATGGCTTGCAGAGGAGTATCAACTCCAATGCTTGAAGCACCTCCTCTCCCACTTTCTTTTCACTGATCTTGGCGTCACCATGTCGTCTTTTTCCACATGTCCTCACTTCCTCCTCTTTCTCTGACTGGGAAAAAAATCTCCTGCTCTTAAGTACTATTGCCAACAAATGCTACCTTTTTGAAGATATCTGCAGGATCCTGCAATGATTTTGTCTAGGTTCTGTGCAGGGGAGTCACTCTCCATGTTCCCGTTGCCAGCTATGCAGCCCAGCTGCCGCCAGGCACGTGGGACCATTCAGTGCTTCTCTTCATGCGGGCTGCCGGGGAGGAGAAGCCGCTGTCCCCGGCGCTGCCATTCTGCCAGCAGCACAGCTGGCTAGGGGCGGCCAGGCAGGCAGAGCTCGCCGTGAGCTGTGCTGAGATGGTGGCGGCGGCCACACGGCTGTGCCTGCAGCACCGAGACGGTCCCAGCCGTGGTGCCTCGCCACCCCTGAGAAAAAGCTGCTCCTGTGCGGATTTTCTTCTTAAATGTGCCATCATTGAGGCATTGACAACTTCTCTAACTGGGCCAGCAGCATGTCCATCTTCAGAGCCATAAGAGACTGGGTCTGTTGGACATTGTGGAAACTTCCAGAAGCCTCTCACAGAAAGCACTTCTGTGCCTCCCCCCCACCCCAAAAAACCAGGCTGCGTCAAACCAACACAAAGTTTATCAGATTGAGGTCAAATTAGGCTTTTGTGAAAAGACTCACAAATTTATAGTTTCCAGGGTGCTGCAGAGATACAATTATTATTAAATAATCGTGTTGAATTCTAAGCAATTGTTCTGTTGATGAAGACACAGAATATCTCCTACTGTCCTACAGTCTCACAAAATCTTGTAGCTTTATCACAACTAAAAGGTAGCATTCACTGAAGAAAAAACTGAATACAAAAATAAAAATCAACTGCTGAAGAGACCTCATGCTTAGCAATCACTTCAAGTTATGAACTATAGGCTTGGTTTCAAGCTCTGTACTGTATTTCCTGCTTAGAAGTATTAAATATAAGCTGCAAGTTTAATCTGTGAATTGCTAACAAGTGAAATGTCAATAATTCTTAAACCACCGATTCAGAAAAATAATCCAAATACTCAGTTTTGATGAGCAGTAAAAGTCAAAGTAACTGTGAAAGGAAAGAATGAAGACAAAAGGCCAACCTGATTAAACCTGTAAAACTTCGCACTTGAGAATAACCTTGAGATCACCCCTGTAGCCAAAACTGGCCAGCAATGATGATTGTTTTGAGAGTTCATATTCACCTGCTTCTATAAACTGCTGTAAAAATCAACTTAACATTCAAGTGTAATAAGAGTTCCGTTACATAAAAGTGAATGAATGAGCCACTTACTACATTTTTGCAATGTCATTTGCAAAATTTGCAAATAACACAATTGCACACGCATGGCCTTTTTTTGTTGTTGTTACAGCACCAAATAGAATTGGTACAGTACAAAACTACTGAAGGTAATTCAACAGCTAAAAACCATATCTGATTTGTCATGTCACAAAATTTTATAAAATCTATTCAGTTAGAAGGCAATAAATTAGCAGTTGAATGATTTATACACTCTTGCCTCATAATTTTTTACGCAATGTTTTATTTTAAAATATATATATATATGATGTATACTATTATGTTTATTCTCTGTGGTCTAATAAAAGCATAAATCTATTTGATGAAAAATGGATTGTATTTCAATTGTATCACTGTATCACACAGAGCTGCTCTTATCATACCACTTACAAAGATCAATGGTAACTTGAAAATTATTACATTCTATGCTACCTCTAATATATTAGCAATAAAAGGACTCTTTTTAATTTAAAAGTCACATCAGCTGCTGTCCATCTTATTTTAAACTCTTTCAAATTCTGAAACTGACATACTACAGGAGCAAAATAGCACCTGGTAACTACAGAGCTACTTCCTCTTTTTCCTTGTGAAAATAAGGTTAAAGCTAGCTTAAGTGTCAATTCAGCAGAAATTTTTCCTGACCTGCATTGCTGTGTATCACATCCTAATCCAAATTCCAGCTCTCCTTTAATAAAATATCATTTGGATCTCACAAAATTTACAGTAAAAATTCCTTCTAATTTGTAAGACTAGACAGGTAAGACAGTGACAATCAGCCTCCTTCAAGACATACAAACACTTCCACTGTGATGATGTTAACGTAAAACATAACATAAAATGTTAAGTGGCTATAAAGTACCACTTAAAAGAAGGAACAGCTGGCTTCTCTTCCCATAGTCAAAGTTTTCTCAACAAGCAGCATATATTTTTCCACATTAAAACAAAAAAATAGTAGTGAAGCATTCATTCTAAAGCTTCATTTTAAGAATAATCTTCCTAATTCTCAGGATATCATTAAACAAGGACAACAAAATCACTTTTATTTGTTAGTTGAAGAGGTGACAACAGTTATGCTAAAAACGCTGATGCTGTTTCTTCCAGATATACAAGACCATAGACACAGGAAACTTAATTACCTGTGTAATTAACTATGTTATGACATAAACGAATCTCTAAGTATCTACATTTTGCTCATGTCAACACGTGGAAAACTCTTAACATTAAATTGTATTATGCAGTGGTCCATAACAGCATATTTACCAGATTTTCAGTACCATTGCTATCATGAAATTAATATTGCAAGTACTTTAGTAAACCCTAAGTTTTAAGTGCAAATGGGAGGTAGAACTAATAGAAATACCCCCCCAAAAGAACCTCTTAGCTCAGCATAAGCAGTATGACAAAAACTGAGAAATTATCTAAGTCAGTTTTCAGTGAGGTATGGCAATGGTTTATTTCCATCCTTTCAGAAGCTGTTTGGGAGTAAAGACCTCTGACAAACGTGGTCTACATTAAAATGATACAATCTTAAAAGAGATGTCATGATGGATGCTCTTTGAAATCATACTTTAAGAAACACTGTTTATACTTGAAGATGCTCACAAAGGTGAGCATTTTCAAAATTTAGTATAAAATCCTACCATTTGTTATATCTCTTATTTTTTTAAATGGACGAAAACTTTATTTGCTTAAGAGCATCTTTCACTGATGAAAGTATTACAAAGGTACTAAAGAGTTAAGCCACAATGTTTAAACTTTGCCTTTTTTCAAATTCTGTAGTTCTTTTAGTCAATAAAAATGTATCTCATTAGTAGGAAATCCTATCTCATAATAATAGAAAATACAACTGTCATGAGAATTCACATTTTCTTCCTTCACTATCATACTTATTGCAACAGAAGCTAATGTTAAGATGATACAATTGTTAAAAATACCATAGAGAGAAAGACTATAGCACAATAATTATACAGCATTAAAAATCTCTTAAATGCTCGAGTGGTTAAAATAAAATTACTGCTGAAATATTTATCGGAATTTTAACCTGCCACTAGAAAAGAAAGGTGAGTTAAGCCACATTTCTTCACAAATGACTTTCACTAGTATTTGGGATTCAAATAAAATACTCTTTACCTGGAAGAGTTCTTCTTTATTTTTTCATCAAGATCACTAAGGATTTGTCTAAATTCCAATTCTCCAGGGAGGACATCTAACAAACAGTCTAAATTGGAAGAATCAAAAGAATACTCTCCTCCCCATTCCATTTTTAGAATCTGTAAAACAAATACAGAAAAATGGTTAAATAATGGAAATATGCAGACTAGAAGTACCAAAATACATAACATCTTGTTCTTTGGAGATTAGATTATATAATCATATAAATATTAGATTATTATGCTTCTGCATAGACTGGTACAGAGGGAAACCGGGAATGCAAGTATTGATACATATTTCATAGTATCTTGCATTTCTTAAGTTTAAAGAAATCATTCTTTTACCTTAATCACAGCAGTAACCTTTTTTTAAGACTTAGGAAAAAATCTCTTATAATAATAATAATAATAATTATATATATATATATATATATATATATATATATATATATATATATATATATATAAATGGAAACTAAAAGCAAACATATTACAGGGTAAACTTATTTTCTGTATACTTATAATTTCTGTACATGGAGTGACTGTCTTCTGGAAATTCAGCACATCATTGCAAATACACGCAAACATAAAAATCCAGACTAAACCAAGTTTCATCTTGCTTTGTACTCATTTTGACTCACAAAGCATTTGACTCACAGGTCAAATTCATCAGCCTATTCAAACTAATACACTACCTTTGTGTCTTTATATCAGAAACAAAGCATTAGCAGGTTTTTTTTCCTGTTTTCTATTTTTTTCTGCATCCTCTGGTGGGAAAATAATGATATTGATTTTACCATCAGTGATGACTTACTAGCAATTAAGGAAAAATATTATATAAAAACTGGAACCTCTTAATAATCAGTATATTTCATGTCTACTATTTAGTATGTCATATTTAATACTATCCATATTGCAGCAACAACATGAGAAACAAACATAATACTCACATGCACACAGTTTGGACAATGAAATATAACAAATACTTTATTTTTTCTGCAAGCGATATTCTTTTATAAAGCAGCCACAGTGTTGGTTGTTATCTAGAGGCACTACTAGAAAAACAAATTGAATTTTTTTAAGTGAACTGTTGGCAAAACACATGTTTAAAAAGAACATCAGATATTTAATATGCAAGGTCAAGATGATTGGTTTTGGTCATAGGTGTAGACTTAAGAGTAGCATAAATGCACATGTCTGGTTTTGCTCTTCCAAAGCAACATTTAAAAAAAACATGGAAGTTCTCTAAAGCATAATATCTTGCATATCTCAATTAACAGCACACCAATATGAAATATTTAATGGATAAAGTGTTTTCTTAAATTCTCAGAAGTTACAGAATACTCCTTTGCAAATAATAATTCAAACACTTGTATCATTTTGAGATGTAGCTGAAACTCAATCACTTGCTGGATGTAAATCAAATACATCTCTTAAAGCATTAAGGAAATGTCAGTCTTTTAATCTAAAACTTAACAGATGTTACTACAATTAAAGACACTAATTAAAAGTAGTAGTTAAATAGAATCTATTAAACAGCGCTTTACAGAACTGAGATAAAAGGCATACTGAAAATACAGCTCTTTCCTCAATTATGATACTACTTACAATAGACTTGGTCAAACACACCCTTTTCTCTTATAAAGGGTTTACACAGAATATAATTTTAACTCCATTCAATATCTATAACTCAAACCCATCTTTTATTCAACTGTCTTGTAGAACAATCAATGATTGGTGTAAAATGAACTGTATTTTATATACATACATATATATATAGCAAAAATACTAACATTTTAGAATGAGTCTTCATAAAATAGCTGCAGAATCAAAATTATGTATTTATATTTAACCCTAACTCTTTACAGCCAAAAGAAGCTCCTTGGGAAAAAATATCAGTATAGTTTACAGACTAGTAACTGTTTGAAAAATTCATCAAATGAAAAAAAATCACCTTGTAAACATGACAGCCTAGTTTTCATGCATGCATTCCTGTAAGACTTCTATGTCATACTTCTTTGGTTCACTTGTCAAAACAAAGCAATTATTCCTTTCAGTCTTGGTTTATGGAAGAAAAGCAACATTTGATTATTCAGTTTTTAAATACTGTTTTAGATGGCTAATACTAATTTCTTCTTCTGAAAATCTAAACCCAAAAATGTTTCAAAAGGAAAAAATAAGAGCATCAAGACATAAATTAGCACAATTGAGGTGAAATTTTACTGTTCTTTAGCATAACCAGAGCCAGGGCCTTCAGTGTACCAAAAGACTCTAACTGATGATCTGACTCTAAACAGAACTCCACTATCAGCCTGCTGCCTGCCCTCCCTGTGTCCCCTGGGGGCAGCAGGATGGGTGTCAGCTAGCAAGGGCCATCCCCTGTCATTTGGGATTTTCCCTGCCTCTCCTGTTAATCCAAAGAGCAGACAGTTGTTGATGCTCTCAAAGAACCAGTGTGACACAGCTCTCCTCTAAAGGCAAAACCCTCAATGTTTGTTTTTTTAAGAAAGAAATCCATTTGCTTCTTAAAAGAGAAATGGGAGAAGAAGTCAGTTTGGAAAATCTGAATTCTGTCAAAGTATTTTAGACATTAATAACCCTCTTTTTTCTGTAAAGGAGATTAAGCTTTGTTATTAAGCTGCATAAAAATATCATTCTACCATATTTCAATTTTCTACTATGATGAACTATTGTATGTTTTAGGACAAATGGTCTTAGAGAACCTGTTTCAGGTGCAACTTTTTAAGTCCCTATCTTCAAAGACTTAGTTCTTTTCAAAACATATTAGAGGACTGTTCATCAACATTAAAATGATGTAGCAATCAATATTTTCGGTAGCTACTCAAGAAACTTAACCAATGTACAGTTTAGCTTAGAAAGAAATATTTTTCAGGTGTCTTATTTTAAGCCATGGTATCAATGAAATTTAATATCAATGTAATAATTTCCCACTTCTAACAAGTGTAAATTATGAAACTTTTTACCAAAAATCTTTAGGCCTATTTAAAAAAATACTACACAACAATCAAGTTAATACCACAGATAATTCTTGCTTTTAAAACTCACAGGGTTTACCATTGAAAAGCACTTTTTGTGTGTGTGTTTTCTTTTTCAGTGTCAATTAAATGGAAGAAATCTCCTATAAAAATTATATGTACTTGCAATTGGGTATTTCTTCATTCTGATTAAACAGTTAAGTTAAAAATAATTGTAAAAGCCTTCCAGTACAAACATACATCTGAAATTCCATGGAATTTCTAAGATCAATTTGTAATATTTATATTTACTATAATATGCCTTTGTTCTCAGACATAGAGTTTGTAAAAGTGGCATTTAGCTAAATCTTGAACAGAATTTTTGAGCACATCTGTTGCTTATGCACATCTCAATGTACCCATAATTTGGAAAAAGGGATATGTCAAACTGCAGCGTTGAAATATAGAGAATTAGCTAAATCTTTGAAGCTTTTTTTCTGTTACTGCTTCTTATCTTACAGGAGATATCTCTTTATTGCCCTAACATCCTTGCAAAACTAAAAGGGAATGAGAGAATTGACAAGATTTTTCATCATTCAGCTTATGCTTTCAATGAGACCTTAACAATGATTTCCTTTATCTAGCTTTAGTTGTGTAACTGCTTCCAGCCGCTTTACAGCACAGAAGATGTCATCTGCAATTGCACAGCAGGCAGCAAGAGCAATGGCAGTAGCCTGAGATACTACAATTCAATGTGAAATTCCTATTGTTCTGTATATTTAAATAGTCTGAATATTTAAAATTATTTTGAAAACCAAATAGAGTGTACAAAAGAAATCCATTTAAAAACTGGAAATTCTTCAGCTCTACTCTGACATGGTAAAAGCTTTCTACCCAATTTTCTGTGGCAAAAATCCTTTAAAATTGTTTACTGTTTAAAATAGACTTGTAAAAGAAAAGGAAAATTTAAAATTCTCTCTATAAAAGAACATGATTCATTTTTGTTTCTGCTCATATGTATCGAAGATCCCTATCTAATTTTTCCAAACTGCCTTTCACCTATTTCGCCCACTTTGCTGAAGCCTACAAAACATTTACAAAAAGAATATCATATTGTTCCAGTAAAAAAGACATTTAATGCATAAAAAAAAACCTCCTCAACAAAACAGAACCACCAGTCTTCATTATGGTTTTATTTACTAAATATTTTGAATGCCACAAATAACTTTGAAACAAGTTTACAAAAATAATCTTGCAATGCTCCCCCTGCAGACTTTCCACATTTGCTGTTGTCATAAACTTTTACTGCAAAGTTAATTTTATATTTGTAAATTATTATCCACCACACACTTAAAACATTTGCCTTTATATTTTTTGAAGATGGATTCTAAGTATCTATAATTAAATACTCATTTGTAACCCTTTTGAACACAGCTTTCTTCCAAATTCTGCCATAAGAGTCACCAAATAAAAGAATGGTAATAAAATACAACTAAAGAAACACAGTCCTCACTATGGATGAAACAGAAAGCTATATCTTCCACCTAAAGCTGTAGTATCAGAATGCAGCTAGGGCAGCTATATCAACATTTAAATCATAATATTGTCAAAAAGGACTGTGAAAATGCACATTTCTGACAAATAGCATATGCTACTATTTTTAATATCTGTAGTTTTTTCAAACTATATAGCTTAGGCCTGCATTGTAAGCATATGTACATGCCAGAATCTGTAACTAAAATCTGTGAGTTCTCCCTATTGTCTCTCCCCAATTCTTTGAGCCACAGAAAGCGAAATGCTGCGAATAGAAAGCAACCAGCACTGCTTTTTAAGATTTGTTAATACTTGGGACTGGCAAAAATGTTCAAAGACAGGAAAGAATTCTCATTTACATAAACTTAATCAAACACTATTGGTGTGACACTACTGTAAAGGCAGTGACTTCAAAAGAGGAACATGCCATCTGGAGTTACAAGGAAACTCCTGAGTAGTTATGTCAGAAGAAAGGAATAAAGGATAATGTGATTTCATAACCTTCGGTAAAGAACAAATGGCCATTTTCTGAGTAGCTCTTGGGACAAACAGTCCTATATCATATTTAGCTCTCAGCTGGTTATCCTGCAGCTGCAATCCTGCAGTGTATGA